GAAGTACCGCCGTGTAATCCATTTATTTCAACAAAGTAACTGTATTCTAAATACCACATTTTTAAACGGTAACTGTAACGGAATACAGTTACTCGTATTTTGTATTTTAAATACTAACGGCGGTACATGTATTCCGTTACTCCCCAACACTGTTAGTAACTCAGATAAAATCATCACATGGTCTGCTCTTCTGGGCCATGTTTGAACATTTTGAAATCCACTCACTCGTCCTTTGTAAATATTACGAAACGAACAAATATTTCCCAGACAGACCAAGAAGAAGTCAGACCTGACGTAATTCAGCTGACGTCTCATGGAGTCAATGAGGGTTTTTCATTGAGCGTGTCATGAAAAACATTCAAACCCATCCATCTTTTTTCCTTACCACTTATCAGATCCAAGGTTACCAGCTGTCAGTGGGTGATGACCTCTCCTCAGATTTCTGGAATCAGACCAAACAATTAATGAACATAAATATGTTTTAGGTTTACTCTTTGCCAAAATTGCTGCACATTATTCTAATTAATATATTAGCATATATCTACTTTATTGCTCTATGGATTAGCGTGGGACTTTGTTCATAAGTCCATAACTTTGGTCCATGTTTCTTATACTTATACAGGAAATATATAGATACAGAAAATATGTCTCGTCTTTGTGAAAGCCATTGATATAATTTATCAAGACAACTTAACCTGAAGAGGCTTTGATACGAATGTTTCTCGAGAATAGAAACTGTTGTGCGCCTGACAAACAGAAGCTGTAAAAAAAACTGAAACTAGAAAATTCACTCCCAAACTATTTTTTAACTGTGAAACCAAAATAGAAACATTTTTTTCTGCTTTGGTTAAAAACTGACCAAACATTTAATAGACTGTCATTTTCACACTTTCACTTGAGGAAGTTTGAGGAGAATGAGGTCACGATATTTTCCGCAATCATCCTGTTTCACATTTAGCTTCAAACATGTCTCCACCTCTGGAGATACTCCACACGGTTCAAGGCAAAGGAGCTGCACCGACAGGGGGCGTAACACACATCTGCTCTCACTAGCTGTAAATATTTACTGCTCTGTCCTCACAGTTTCATAATCTGTCGTATTTTGGGAACTGGAGAGTTAAACACCGTGTGATGGTCACCACTGTTGGGTGGTGTTGAGCTGCAGGCCATGTTTGAAGGACTCGTGATAATGTCCGCGCTGTTATTCTAGCACCATTTAACGTTGGCTTTTAATGACATCTATTTAATTGATTTTCATTAAATATTTGTGGCACATAGAGCCTAATGCATTTTGTTATATCTGCCTTTTACTGTCACGTACCCTCCAGCAGGTCAAAGGTTTCATTAGTCTACAGGGCAGAATTCAGTTAATTACCTGCAGAGCAATTAAAATTAGTCTCACTTTGACTCTGTTATGCAAAAGCATTGCATTATGTTGATTTTTAGAAAATATTACATCATCAGGAAAAGTAAAATCTGTAAATTTCTACTTTAGAATAAAATCCCTCGTATTGAATATGTGAACAGTCATCAACTTCTGCAGGATTAATGACACTTAATGCTGCTTCTGTAACATATGCCAGCAAAACGGTGTGGAACATCAAAAAACAAGCCAGACGTCTGCTAAACTTGATGGCCTGTGTTTTAAATGTGGCTTCAAAAAAACCCAAACTTGATACCAGCTGCTGAACTGGTAAAAAGCTGCTGGTCACACGGCAAAAGATTTCTGGCCTGTTGGCTGTTTACCATCACAGCCTGACTATTAATACAAGGACATATAATAGTGCACATTGTCATAACCAACTGGGACATCGTGTGAGGAAAACAGCGTGTAAAATATCAAGCTGCGTTCTTGCATGTAATAATTCATGTTGCAGACTGCGAGAGGGGCTGAAGTGATTCACAAAATCACTGCATACAGATGCCTGTAAATACAACGTAAAGGAATTTTTTCATATTTATAGAAGATCATATTTTATTTCAGCTTTAGCAGCACTATCGCCTAATAAAGTCTATTTTATTTTATCAGAAGCTGAAGACATGGACTGGTTCACTTTTTAACGTGATAAATAATCCAGTATTAGCGAGATTATCCTGTGTGGCATGTCACCATCACCTCTTTCCGAGATCAGTGGCGCAGAGAGAGTTAAGCACTTTATTTGCTGAGTCACAGCAGCCGCCTGCCTGCTGTGCTATCATAACAGAGCTTTATACTGCAGGGTCGAAAACAGGCAGATGAGCAGCAGACTGCCCTGACCTCACCGTTTACACCCCATGAGTCAGCTGGCCTTATGCATAAACAGCACAGACAAGCCAGCGATTACTTCCAGGAGAAGCAAGCAGAGCACAGTGAGAGTGTTTTGTTGTACCTAGTAACCGCTGGGTAAGAGCCGAACAGCCCAGGAACTCCCATCTGACCTTCACATGAAGCTCAGTTAAGTTTCCGCCTTTGTTTCCTAAGTTTCCTCCAGAAATACAGTACAGATGACATGCATAGCTGTCCAGGCTTCTTGAAGGACATTCAAAGCGCTTCTTTGCAGCTTGTTCTCTGTCATGATGATTCCTTAAGACGGGCTTCTTGACAGCCACCCTTACACCGTGACCATTTCTGCTGAAGCTTCATGAACAGCTGGATCAACTGAAGTGCCAGATGTGTCTCTCAGGCCTGTGTCAGGTCTTTGCAGGATTTTTTCCCCTTTAAGGACATGAATTTCAGATAATTGAACTTTTGTTTTTCCCAAAACATTGACTAACTTGTCCAGTTTCTTTAATTTTTTTTATGTCCACACTGCACACTACAGTATGCTGATATATGCCAAGTTTTTGGCCAAGAGCCGTTTGGGAATCACCTTGTTGGTGCACAAATACCATTTTATGCCTTATCTTTTGCAGTTTCCATAGATTCAACTAAACAAATGGAACAAATTATATGTTTTTGTAACATGTTGTACTTAGAGATAAAATTACTACACTCACACTTGTAGCTGCTGAAGGGACTTTTAATTAAAGGGGACCTGTAATAGTCACGACCTGTAGCTTGGAAAGGCTGAGGCCCCTGTGACCCTGAATTGGATAAGCAGAAGAGATGGATGGATGGATGAGACATGAAGTTTTGAAAAATAAGACCAATGAATGTACAAGCAATCCCTTTGAGCCAAAAGCTCAAACAGTTTTGGGTTTTTTTTCTCTTCCTGGCTCTCTGTGATGACATCGGTACCTGGTCAGCTCGGGCACAACAGCTCCACCCACCTGTTGTTCAGGTGTTGTTCAGTGAGCAGCAGTTGATCAGCAGCAAAACAAAAAACTTTCTTAAAGGGAGGGGTAAAAGTAGTAAAACAACCTTTCAGATAGAGGATGAACTGAGGTGCCACACAAAGGCCGAGTGTAAGACAAATAAAGATTATTTTGAATTTTAAATCAGGATGAACAGTTCTGATATAGTCCAAGAATAAATCATATATCGTTTGTCCATGTGAGCATTAAAAATGCTGTGGAAAGGCAGTGGGATGATCATGGATATCATGGAAACTGATTGACCAGAATTCCTTAAGATTTCTTTAAACTCCGTGGCAGAATAGACTCAGTTTACACGAAGAACTACTGAACAAAGTTTTGAACGGTAAAAGAATTTAGCGGATTTCATGGGGTGTTTTCTTCTTATCATCATCAGGATACAGAATGACTTTTCTTCTGCTTATCAAAATATTGAATGGCACATTCAGAGGAGGACACAGGAGGGCTAAATGTGTGGAAGGGTGTGGACTTCCTCTGAGCCCAAAACATGCAAAATAAAAGCAAAAACACTTTGGGCCGTAATACGCAAGAAAAATACGGTATTACTGTTCCGTAAGTAAGGCAGCACAGTAAATGGCCTTGTTTGTATAGCGCTTTTACTAGTCCCTAAGAACCCCAAAGCGCTTCACACAATCAGTCATTCACCCATTCACGCACACATTCACACACTGGTGATGGCAAGCTACGGTTGTAACCACAGCCACCCTGGCAGAGGCGAGGCTGCCGGACACTGGCGCCACCGGGCCCTCTGACCACCACCAGTAGGCAACAGGTGAAGTGTCTTGCCCAAGGACACAACGACCGAGACTGTCCAAGCTGGGGCTCGAACCGGCAACCTTCCGATTACAAGGCGAACTCCCAAC